ATAGAAGTATCCCACCGGTACAATAGACGTATCCTACCGATACAATAGAAGTATCCTGCTGATACAACAGAAGTATCCTACCAGTACAATAGAAGTACTCTGCTGATACAATAGAAGTATCCTAGTGATACAATAATAGTATCCTACCGGTACAATAGAAGTATCCTACTGATACAATAGAAGTATCCTACCGGTACGATAGAAGTATCCTGCTGATACAATAGAAGTATTCTACTGATACAATATAAGTATCCTACTTTTACAATAGAAGTATCCTACTGATACAATATAAGTATCCTACTGATACAATATAAGTATCCTACTGATACAATAGAAGTATCTTACTGATACAATATAAGTATCCTGCTGATACAATAGAAGTATCTTACTGATACAATAGAAGTATCCTACTGATACAATATAAGTATCCTACTGAAACAATATAAGTATCCTACTGATACAATATAAGTATCCTACTGATACAATAGAAGTATCCTACTGATACAATATAAGTATCCTACTGATACAATATAAGTATCCTACTGATACAATAATAGTATCTTACTGATACAATATAAGTATCCTACTGATACAATAATAGTATCTTACTGATACAATATAAGTATCCTACTGATACAATAATAGTATCTTACTGATACAATAGAAGTATCCTAGTGATACAATATAAGTATCATACTGATACAATAGAAGTATCTTACCGGTATGACAGAAGTATCCTACCGGTATGATAGAAGTATCCTGCTGATACAATAGAAGTATCCTACTGATACAATAAAAGTAATTTACCGGTACAATAAGCACAAAAATTGGAACAAATACACACCAAGTCGGATAAAAACGTTTTATCATTTGTAACAACATTTGTAACATTTATAGCAACATTTATAGCAACATTTATAACAACATTTATAGCAACATTTGTAACAACATTTATAGCAACATTTGTAACATTTATAACAACATTTATAGCAACATTTGTAACAACATTTATAGCAACATTTGTAACATTTATAACAACATTTATAGCAACATTTATAACAACATTTATAGCAACATTTATAACAAAATTTATAGCAACATTTCTAACAAAGATTATAACAACATTTGTAACATTTATAACAACATTTATAGCAACATTTGTAACATTTATAACAACATTTATAGCAACATTTATAACAACATTTATAGCAACATTTCTAACAAAGATTATAACAACAGTGGACTCTAGAAAGTTAAAACTATTCCCACTTATAAGAAAGCAATTAATCTATTTAGCAGAAAGAGAAAAACGAGAAATATTTTGGAAACAACAAAGATAATGAGGGGTTTGTTTGTCTGTTTTGAATTTATGCACAAAGCTAAACAATGGGCTATCCGTGCTCTGCCCACCACAGATATCGAATCCCGGTTTCTAGCGTTGTAAGTCTGTAGACTTACCGCTGTGCCACTGGGGGACATAATGAGGGGTAATAGAAAAGTAGATGACCGGAATTAAGAAAAATTCCAAAAGAAAAGAACCCCAAATACATCGTCTACAGATTAAGAACGGGTAGTATGTCAATACGAGAAACATTTTATTTCATTATTTAAACCTAAACTTAATATTTTAAACATTGATACAAACCTTCATATGTAATCTAAACGCGTTGTGAGTGTGGTACTGCTACTGTTGTCTTACACCCGAGAACGTTCTACACACATATATTAATGACGTAATCACATATATTAGTGACGTAATTACACCTGGTCAGATACATTTTTACAGAAACAACTAACAGCGCGTCATGTCTCCTCGAAGAGTATCCAGACAAGATGAAAATCGGGTTGAATTATGTTTTTTTTTACTGATGAAATAATAATAAAACAAGAAATAAAATAAGTAGCAGAGACACCTGTTGGGCGCGTTCTACACCAAAGTTTACATGACGTAATATGCTATAGGATGCTACGTCAGCGATGACGAAACATTGTGTCTCGGGTTGTATTATTATTATTAATAATAATCCTATTTTAAATACTTACACTTTTCAACATTTAAATGCACGAGACTTAAACATATGAACCTGAGGATGAAAGTAACCGGACATTTTTTTGTATGCTGGATACTTTTTCTGGGATCAGGGGCGTGGACAAGAAGGGTCAAGCAGCTCCTTTCCTCCCCCAGTAGCTCTTTGCATACGGACTCGCATGACCCTGCCTGCAATTAGTATTTATAAAACCAGGAAATATTATACTGACAAATAAAAGATGCCAAACTTCGACTAACAGAGGTTTCTAATGGCTGATGACGTGATACTGCGCATACGCATTAATTCTGAACAAAACGGAAAACGATGCGTCAGAGAAAGTTTTGACAGATGAAAATCAAATCCTTAAATGTTAAAATAGTACATGTACAAATCTTAGCAGTCACTATTTAGGCGTAAAAATCAAACAGACGACAACGTGGAAATTTCTATAAAATAAAATCTCTCAACCTACCCCGGTTTGAATGACTTTTCGCCATCCTAAATTTGTTACACATCGTATTACAACATCCTTTTGGTTTTGCCATGCGTAGTTTGATTGCACTGTTTTAAATATCTACACAATAATGTTCATCCTTACTGTTTACTTCAAAACTATAAAAACATATGTATTTTGTTACTTCCTCTTGGTTGACACGAAGCATCTTCATCTAATAACTGTTCCTCGTGCAGCTAGGTTTTATTCAAAGAAACAACGTTGGTTGGTTTGGTTCAGATTTTTCGTATAAAGCTACAAAAAAGGGCCATCCTGCACAGTGGCCGGAAAAAAAAAGTCACATTTTTAATACCAAAATATAATGTAAAGTAACACAACAAAAACATTTTTAAGTTAGTTATTTATTTCAATAATAGCATGATGCATAATATGAAAAGTCCATGACATACACACACATTAATAACACAACTTACATAACTGTTGTACGAGGAGATTTATATCGATTTTTTTTTTTAGATGAAAAAACCCGAAAAACATTTATTAAATGAAATAATCTCCATTCTTATCGATGATGCTTTTCCATCTTACAATCAGGTT